ACTAGGAATCTGAGTTGATAAACTTGTGAGTGAGAATAATCATCTTAAACAACTATTGGAAAGGGTGAATCAGCTCTTAGATAAAACCTGATTACAAATATTGCTTTTCAAAATCTATACTTAAATTACTGTTGTGAACTTTATTCAACTGTGAATGAATCTCAGGCTGCTATTATAATCTCTTTAGATATAAACTGTTGACCGAGTCTGAGACTAGGAGTTGATTCAGCAGCACCTAGACTCCGACAGGAGTTTAGAAAGCAAGGGGGTCTCCTCTGAACCTCGTGACTCAATGGGAGGGTCTCCCCTACCTTTCTACATTCCCAATCTCTGTACAAATCACGAGAAATCAATTGTAACTTGATTTTTCTTTGTATTTCTTTGTTTCTCTTTTACCCTACTGCGTCTTTGGTCTCTGTATACATAATTTGACTTTGACTCTAACTTAATTTTCCTTTGTACGTTTCATCCATGTATTAAGCAATATAGTGAACCTTGCCATCGAATTCTGTGAAGTCGCACTTTTATAAATTCCTATTGGATCAGTTTTGCTAATACCCTTTAAGTGGTCCAAACCACTCCTTTTTGCGACAGGTAGGTATCCATAGCACTGAAATGTCTCTGTCGCATTCCACCTTCCCGCAGGTTCCCCAGAGTTTTGGGCGTATAGGGATGGTTCCATCGTGCTGGGAGGGCCCCAGCTCACCTGTTTGTGCTGTTTTGCACTTGCCAGCATCAGGCAGTGTGGGTGTTTGGCCATCTGTCCTCAGGACACTGTCAGGAGTGTGGGATGCCATAATGCAGGCATCCTTTTGTAGTCACTCTTGGGACCTGAGTGAGCCACCAAACAGGCAGTAGGTTTTGTTTGGGAGGTAATGTGTTGCTGTCAGATTTGTGCAGCATGCCACAGTCCCCCTCCCAGAAATAAAGCTCCATCTCTAAGGTGCTAGGCATATGCTTCTTTCTGATCCAGTGATGCTCCTTGAAGACATTAGCACAGTTTCTTGTTACCATTTTCCACCACCTGGCAGATGCCAGCCCCTCAACCCTCCTAGTACAAGCAGTCATGTGGATATTCCATAATCTCTTATAAACAAAGACAAGATAGTATTGTCTTCATTAGCTGTTTAAACTGAGCTGGCAGACTTCATCTGAAGATCTGTGCCTGCTCACGTAATTCCTCTTGCCAGCACTATGATTGACATGACAGGAATAGATAAATGAAAGACTGACAACGTCTACCACAACTCTTTGCAAAGAGAAAAATTGCCAGTGGTTTGACAGGGCCTGTATCCGAATTCAAGTACTATATAAAAACAGTCTGAGCACTGTTTCAGCATCTTCCACTAAGCCCAGCAATAAATATGGCATTTGAGAGATACATATCACTAGGAACGGAAAAGAAACACATTAAACAGCAATGAAAGGCTGCAAAATAATATACCATAAACTTATTCTACCTTGGTACTTACATAACTTTCCTAGAGTGTCCATGAGACATTGACCCACATAAAGCACATTTTTTCTCTCCAAAATATGCCCATCTGGGCGTTCAGCTCAGCACATCCAGTTACTGCTAGCACAGTAGCAGAGTATCCTACAATAACCAACTCTTCTTCTCATAGGGGACTGAAAGAAAAATCTTTGATTGCCCTGATCATAAAATTCTTGCCCCGCATGTGTGGAGTCAATTATATAAGGAAGGAGTTGTGAGATTACAATGTATAAATATAAGTTCTGAGCAGCAAAGGCACTGAAAACTTGCATTGACAGAGTTGCCAAAGCTTAAGTGACCTTAAAGCATACGTACGCTGCTTCAAATTGAAACTGCATTAGTTCATGGCAAAATTTTAAAATTGGGTATATATATTAAATTGCATTTATAATGTTTCCTTGCCATGAGCACACTGCTGTATGTTCGTCTCAAATGACTATCTCAGGTATTTCTCGGGTTCCTGTATCTCTTCTGAGTAAGGATCTTAACATAATTGATTTAGACAAGGGCTTTGAAGATTTATAACAGATGTTGACAGAGTTTTTTCCTTCTTTATTGGGTCTCATCAACTATATAAACACTTCTTTCTATCAGACTGCTGTTTCCTATGTGCTGCTCTTTCAGTCATCTAACTGTCGGTATTTAGTTCAGTGAAATTACAGTTTCATAATACTTGGCAAGATCCAGATGCTAAGGTCAGGCTTTTTTCTGCAATACCATCAAACACTGAAGTTCAGAAATTCTTTCATCTATTTTCTTTTACATTCACTACCCTATTTCTGGAGATGCTAAGGCTATCAGTTAATACAGAAAATAGATAATTTTTTAAGTTCAGGCCTTGGCAGATTAGAGAATGTGAGACTGTGTTGAAATGTTTAAATGTGAGACTAGGTTTAAAAATATACTTATTTGTAACTTCTACGGCTCAGCCATAGATAAGTAATGGTATTCCTAATCAGTAAAATATCTGAACTCCTTTTATAGGTAAAGAATCGTACTTTAAGACTTTACGTAATTAGAGTAAATAACTAGAATACACCTGAATTAATATATGTGCCTAAAATCTCTTTGCCTTTTCAGTAGAAGGTAGTGCTTTTCCACTCCTTTTGCTAAAACTGCAGCCAAGTTCTGTAAAGTGTTTTGAAAACAATACTCAAGTCAAAAGGTGACTACACAGTAGTGACCTATCTTGTGTGCCTGATCTGTGAGGATGGGAGAATCTAGCTTATGCTTCCTACATATACAATAGTATGAAAGTGCTAGGTACAAGTTGTTGTAAAATTAGAATACCACGTATATTTATGAGTACTAAACCTGAGAAAAATAATAAAACTGAATTCTGCTGCTCCCCTTTTACAATAGGTATTG